ATCAAGACATGTTTCGTTGTTTTGTTTGTTTTATCATAATAGTAACGAGAACCACCTCGTTGAACACACTGTGACCGGATTACGTTAAGTGTATGGAATTTATGCCGTGGAATATATTTTTATTAGCCACATGACTTGACCTTTATTGGCTTTAAAACTGCTCACTTGCAGCTAGCAGTTTGTTGTTAATGTCCGTAAAGGTCTCCCGCTCATATTTCATATATAACATAAAAATCACCCCTACCAGTTTTTGTTTCGCAATCACCAACTTTCTAGTCAGTTTTCGCTCTTTTACTCCAACTCTCTTCTTTTACAGAAAAAAGAATGAAAAAATGAACGAAAGAACAATAGAAATAAATTGAGAAATAAAAAAGAGCAAGAAGCATGAACGCAACTACACACTTACACATCAAAAAATCTTTAAAAAACTTAAAAAAACTTAATCACACTCAATTACATATATATTTAGTGATTAGAAATTATGTTGACTAGCTTCATCTAAAAACCAGAACCATCCGACAATTTGGCATATAGTAAGACGAGTGATAATCCAAGGATGGAAAGCATACTGTGCAAATTCAACTTTTGAATTATGTACAGAAGATCGTAATGACAGCTATATTTCGATTTTATTGCAAAATCATAATCATGCTGATCAAAAGTTGAATTTGCACAGTATGCTTTCCATCCTTGGATTATCACTCGTCTTACTATAGCTTCATCTAGTTACATAAAAAAAAATAAAAAAACTTCCTTTCTTTCCCGATTGTCCTACGTGTATTTTAATACATTTACGCTCTTATGCAGTTGGTTTTTGTGTCATGGGTTTCCTGTGCCCTAAAGTAAAATATCAGTCACAAAATCACCTTCAAATTAATGATATTAATACAAAATAAATCTACGGCATAACGAATAAACATACGTTGCATTCGATGATATTGATAAACTTCTTTTCTATATTTCTCTATTTCTTATTAAAAAAGAACATAGCAAGTTTTATTTTTGAGCTCTGACATACGGAAATAATCAGATTGAGCACACTTTATATATCAATAGATCTCTGAAGCTTTTACATTACGTACGTATAACGCATCCGCAATGCATTGTAGGATGGGGATAGAACACGGCGTATTTCTTTTGTTTTCTCTAGAGACTGTTCCCACAATGCATTGCAAATCAAGCAGTGACGTAAAAGGTTCAGAGTCTATCATTCCATGACAATGATCTACTTAATCATTTATGGTTTTGTGGTCGAAGCTTCATTTCAGTTGTTTTAAAAGACTGCCAGTTATTTTTGTAATGGTACCAAAACAAGCCACTCTCCTTAACAACGTTTCCTAAATACTTTCCATTAAGATTAGAGTCTGCACAATCATAATACCACCACGCACCGGTACGCAGAACTGCACAATTACTACTATGACCATCGTTATCTCTATCTTTGGTGGTAAAAGCACTGTTTTTATATGCCATTGAGTATCCAGCTGTACCCGAATACCCGCCAACACTCAACCTGTACTTGTCTGACTCATCACCTACACTAAAAGTACCATATTTGGCATACTTCCGAGATCCGTCCCAGTCCCCGATTTCTACGCGAAGACTTGATGCTGTTCTTGCTGTCAGTCGATGGATGTAATCGTTACCCAACCAAAACTCGCCATTCAGGTTTCCAAAACCTGTTTTGTATTGCTGCCAATTGAGATAAAAATCGACCGATCCGTCTTTACGACGTTGAAACACAGTCCAGCCCCCACCGTCAGTTGTCATGTCACAGTACACTTGGAAGCTACCTTGGTTGTCAGGATTCACTGTGTATTTGCCGTCACGTCTCTCTCCTGATTGGAAGATTTCTGAACAATCTCTAAAGTGAGCCTTGATAGTGGATCTTGATTCTCTGTTAAAAACATCAGCACTTGTTGCAGTACAAATATATGCACCAAAATCTGTTGTCGTAAAATCTTTGAGGATCAAAGAACCATCTCTTACTTCGTGCCTGCCAATAGGAAGAACACCATTTTCCCTTCTCCATGTTATGACTGGTTTAGGCTCTCCTGTAGCTTTACAATTGAGACGAACAGTTTTTCCAGGAAGGGTGACAAGTGATGTAGGAGGTTTTATAGTGAATCTAGGCAGCTCGACAACAATAAGAAACGTTCCTTTTGTAACTGAGCCAAGAAGATTTTCAGCTTTACACAAATATGTCCCAGAATCTTCTTTGCTTGCTCTAAAGAGTGACATCTGTCCTTCTGTGATGACGCTTCGACTGATATTCAATGAACCAATAGACTTGGACCACGTAATCTTTGGTTTCGGATGTCCTGTCACGTGACATTTCGGCATAAGAATGTCCGTACCTATCTTTTCATATACTGGTCCACTGATCAAGGTCACTCTAGGTCGAGAGTTCACTTCAATTGTCGATTTGCTGTGTTTGTTACCAAGAATGTTAAAAGCTTTGCATACATATGTTCCTGTATCAGATGTAGCGACTTGTCTCAGTTCAAGTTTCCCGTTGCTGTCAACAGAAGATCTTCCTTTCGGCAACGAACCGTTTTCTTTACTCCAAACTACAGCAGGTCGTGGGTAACC